TTCCAACAGATTGTATTTCTTTTTGATATGGTAACATCCAAAACATACAAAACCATTAGTTTGTTATTATTATTACTTCTATTTTATTCACACTAAATTATAATACTATAGAATTTAATACATGCCTGTGTTTATTAAGATAAAAGTCCTACGAATATATCACTGTTTTTGGATGCTCAATTATCTCATTTTTACATTTTACATCGCCTGAACATAATACATAATTATAAAAATACTCAGTACTCAATGGATTTTATTCTATTCATTGTATATTTTGGCGCATTGTATGTTGTATAATTTTGGCGACTTCTAAAAGAACCACAGAAATACAGATTTAGAGACACCTTTTTTTCGGATGTCTAAATTTCTACTATATTTATTGAATGTTGCAGTTATCAGAAAATTGTTTTCGTGTCTGCGTCATACATACATAAATAGTGGATGTGAGTAAGGTTTTGCGGAAACAACGCAGTCGTAAGGCTCGATGGAGTTTGTCGACCTTCGTGCGCAGTGCCAGTTCTTTTAAACAGCCAGAGTTAAGTATCTATAAGAATCGTACTCAGGTACAAATTATATTTCTCTTAATAATTGTATAGATATATTAATAAGAGGTTTGTTGAGATGTTGAAATAAAACGACATTGAAGTATAATATTCATACAGCTAATTTTCATTAGCACTCAAATTGAGCAAAAATCCCTTAGTTTTAATATACATGTACAATGATGTACGAATGCAATTAATTAGATAAATTTAAGCAGTTTGCTTTAGAAATTTTGCGTTGGTTGCTAGTCCTAAATTTTATTATTTATTAATCTTAGTTTATTTACATTTGATATATATAAACATATGCACGCTCTGCTACCAATTGTAGAAAAATAATATAATAAATACATTGAGACATTATTAAATTATCATAGAAACAACTTTGTTGTGCATGAAGATTTCAATAATTAGTTCTGTATCACAGAATTCCCAATAACATCCCATTTTTATCAGTAGGTACATCTTACTGTCCTTAAATATTTATAAATATATTTTTATAGAAAAAAAATTGAAAACTACGCATCAAGACAAGTCTGTACCGTAAGTACTCGAATTTTTTTCTACTTAATAGTTCTGGAATATACGTAGTTATCATTATAATAAATAAAAGTATCTACATGGATCTTTCTAATTGTCGTGTATACGACTAGTATTAATGTTTACATGACCAATTGCAAATAAAATTTATAATTGTAAATAAATAATAGTATGCAAAATACTATAAATCGAGGAGTGTCTATACAATCGTAGATCTACTAGATCGTGATCAGATCACGCAGCACGCAGCCACCGGGGTGAGTCATTGACTGTCGGCCGTAAGCGCCACGCCGCTGTGACGCCGCACCGCACCGCACACCGGACACTCGATACCATTTACGACCGTCACCGCTCATTGTAATCGATACATACAATCGACAGCCTTACATTTACTACTGTATATGCCACCATAATAATCCCCTCATTCTAAACACGTTGGTCTAATAAACCAAGTAGGTATGTGATGTATCCGTTTAGGTTTATCTATCTACTTTTGACACTAAGGGGAAGGGATAATTATCTTGTTAGGTTGAAATTCACGCCATTCCCTATAACCTTCAGGGAAAATTTCTATTGAATTCGCCACGATGAACCAACTGCTTTCAGTTTATAAATAAACATAGTAAACTATGTTTCATCCTATACATGGTATAAATCTACACTTCAGACTAGATAAAGAACCTGCTCGATACGTTTATCTTACTAATATAATTGTAACTAGACGATGTCTGTAGATGGGAGATTTTTAAGAAAAATTTACATATAGGGTCTTAATAAAGCAATAGAAGCCAAAACATTAGAAACTCTGTTTGTATATTTAGCCCGGCATCACGCAAAAATCTCCAAATTGGATTCGGTTTTTATTGTTTTCCTGAAGTTCTAATTTAAAATATTTTAACTTGATGCATGATCTAGAAGTGTACTATTTAATTGGTTTTTCTGTTTCTGAAATCCACGCGTAAGAAGTAGTGGCCGAAAAGCTACCTAGCTTACAAAAAGAAAATTTGGTCAGGATTAGGGCCGATCGTCTCTGTTTATTCAGAAACTAAGCAGGCGTAAATACAAATACTCAAGCAATGTTTAAAAAGAAAATTATTTTTGTTTCCATATTAATATGTTTTAACTTGCGAATTGAGTAACAGTTACCTACTGCTAGCATTTTACTTGAATGGTGATGTTAAGTCGGAAGTTCTATCATACATTGACAAAATGTCATGGAAGACAGGAAACAAAAGTCGTAGTATGTTCGTGCATATGCATAACTTACTACAATAATACTACGATGAAACAGTCATAAATATGTATAATACCTTACATTTTGAACCTGAAGTGAATAAAGAACTAATCTATGGTAACTGTAATTTTAGTATGAGAACTAGAGGAAGGTAATAATTATGATAAGTAACTATATTATATCTCGTAGCTTATATTATGTGAAAGTAAAAGAAAAAAGTAATAGACAAGGATAATTTTTTTTTATTCTAAGTACTTATAGTTAAATATTACGAATTCAACACTCTTATACAGATGTTTCTTTCTGTGGACGCTCAAATTTATGTACTCAACTTCCTACCAAAATTTTCCCAAGAGACTACAGGACATGGTTCTTTAAAAAAGCGGGTAACTAAAGAGATTTCTTTAGTGTCTGCAAAATGCCCCTGCTATTACAGGCATTCATAGGCTACAGTACAATGCCTACCACAGTGCTGGTCATATGCTTATTTACTATTAGTGGCATAAATTAAATTCAGCAATTAAAGATATATTTAGAAAAAGAATAAGTTGAATGTATCTCCCTACTACATTATTAACAGCAGTACTGTATTAGATCCTTTTAGTAAACTCTGTTTATTCCTGCTCAATACAATCTTAAGACAACAATGTAAGAGAAGGAATGAGTGACTATAACACTAAATAATAAAAAAAAAGTAACTTTTTATACTACAATAAAAGAATACAACTTCAAAATATGTATGCAGGCCATATCAAGGTTCCTATGTGTACTTGTATTAACTTTTTACTTTTGCAAACTTATATGCTTATAAAAAACTCCTAAGAAAAGGAAGTTTTCTTTAGGGAAAATGTTGATAGGAAGTTCATTCCACATTCTGAGCATTAACACAAGGAAATTCTTTAGTAATCATAGTACCGAGCCATTGCTGACTAAATGTACAGGGTACATGGCTATTTAGTTAGCAATAGCGTCACGGTTAATGTTTTAAATTTTAAATTTACTTAGCTTTTTAGATAACTTTTTAAAGATAAATTGAAATATATTCATTCTATTTAATTTATGTTTTATATGTTTGATATATTTATATAACACACATAATCTTAAAACAACTTTTTTAAAAATTTGTGTTTTAAAAATAAGGCAGACAATAAACATATTAAGTAATATAATAAAATTGTAACTAGGCAATATCTATACTTGGGAAATTATTTATTATTTGAGAAAAATTAATAAGAGTGGGGTTAATATGACCAACAGATACCAAAACAATAATTTTTAGCAATTTTATCTGTCAGTATGTTTGATACCAGTGTATCACACAAAAACTATTAGATGAAATTAGATGTAGTTTTTTTTATAAGTGATAATGAAATAGTAACCCTACCCGTCCTATCAGTATACATCGGCGGGCACCAGTGACAGATGAGCATGAAACACGTCAGTTAGCCCATCATGACAAATTCAACGAGAATTGTTTATGATGGTTTCCAGAGGGAACCACGTGGAGGTTGACCTGATAGGGCATATTGCTAGAAATGGGGCTGTCAAACTCCATTGCTAACAATCCCTTGCCCCCAATTGAATGTAGTTGTAACAGTTATATTCTTAAAGGTTTACTTAAAAACTGGTGTAAGTATTAACTTGATATTCCATCTAGAATTATTTAATTTTATCAGTTTTCCTATTTTTGAAACCCATGCATACAAAGTAGCAGGTAAGTAGCTAGCTATTCCAGTTAAGTATTTGCTTATGTTAAGCAGTCTTATTAAATAAAGAGACTTCAGAATTATTTACTATTTCCAAAATCAGATTTATGGGTACAACCAACTTAATGTTGAGATGACATATAGCAAGATTGCATTATTGCAGTGGATAAGATTGGCATAGGACTGTTACAATGGTGTCATAAAAAGATGACATATTTCCAGCAGTGGGTGAATGCTGGTCGATTAGATATTTAACATTTTAATTTCATTACATTTTTTGTCATTTTAAGAACGACAACATTGTCAAACCTAAGTGATAATATAATTTCCTGTCATAAAATACATTAAAGTTAAAATTTTGATGGCCATTCTAGCATAATCATGGAGAATGTGGGTACATTAAAGTTATTAAACCAAATGATGTAATAATATAACAATGTTTGGGCCACTGACACAAACTGGTCTCAGAGATAATTACTAAAATTATTTGTTAGGCCAATCCAATTACTTGGAATCATTTTGAAAAGATGTAATTACAATCTTTCATATAGGAATATGAGTCTTAAGAACATAAACTACAGACCATATTTGAATAAACTTATCATCACTGTATTCATCATATATTAATATAAATATACCTACAGAGCAAATAATTGAATGGAACATTGATTACAATACTTCTAATGTAAATATAATAGTAAATCAGTTTCAAACATATTTTAAAGATTAACCATTTCCTTTTTGATTAATTACATTTTGCCATATTCTTTAAAATGTGACTTTAAATAACGTGAAAATCATAATCCAATTATTAGGCACAGAGAAATATAAAAAAAATGTGTTAATTATTATTTTCGTCTGCCTTAGTTTTAAATTATTAGAGATTAAAAACACACTAAAATTATTTAATAAGCGTGTCAACTACAAAATTAGATTACAGATTATATAAAAATTGTAGGTACATAGTTCTATTCTTACCTATGATGAAAAGTGTACTTCCCAGAAGGCATAAACCAATTCGTACACAAACTGCTCTATTGAGGCTGCTTGTCACACGACGTGAGAAGTAGCTCATGGGGCAATTCCATCTCTGATCGCTTGGTTGCTGCTCATACGTGACTGTTGTTGGCTGATAAACGGCACTTGTGGGCATTGTGGCAAAATTGTTAACGATTACAGGAAACCAACAAAAATATTCACTTATATCCTTTGTCACTTTATGAAAAGTTTAACACCGCTTTGATAAACTTTATACTGTACGTTTTATTAAACCTTTATGTTTTTTGAGAAGTGCGTCGAGCCGTCATAAGTCCATTAAAATAAACTTTTTATATTTTCACGTTAATAAAAAAGCGACGCTGATAGGTACAGAGTAAAGTTAGACTTTACTGAATCGAAAGGAATCACTATGTCGTGAATGTCTGAATATAAAAAAAAAATCACTTTAATTGAGAAGACACGAGACAACAATCAGAAAGTAAATGAAACGACTGACTGATTGACTGCAAAAATGATCTAAGTTGAATGAGTTGTGAAGTGAATGAAGCGAACTAAATGGAAAGATTGATAATGAATGAATGGTTGTAAATAATTCATGAATAATGGCCTCATAGACGGTCATAAATATGCGTTAAACCTTAGATTATAAGGAACACCAGAGGGAGACTTTGTAGAAAAGTTAATTACTTGGGTAACTCTGTGCTATTCGTGTTTCAACCGTGAAGCAGCTGTGTTTGCATAGCTGTGTTTCGATTTGAAGGGTGGGCGTGAATTTACTAGGTACAGAGGAATAACACCCGAATCCTCAGGAATGGCAACACATGGGGGTACCATGGATGAAACAGTATACTCTGTCATGTCCATGATACTGCTCATGTCTGTAGGCGATGGTTACCACTTTCCATCAGGTGGGCTGTCAGCTTGTTTGCCATTCTAAGTTGTATAAAAAAAAAACAAGTACATTATACTGACACCAGAATGTATCAAATTTATAATAATTTTGACAGTTAACAGTTACACTAACCGGCAATTTAACTGACAACCGACTAGGTGCCATTAGTTGCTAGGTTTGACAGGCGATTTCGAACCGCAAGTAGGATTTTGTATGTTAAGGGAGACGCTACTGCCTATCCTTCTATCCTTAAGTTCTCTTAGTTACATACGACATCCAAGTAAGGAATCCCATTATTATTATCATTTCAGCCATTATCTGTCCACTGTTGGACATAGCCACCTACATCCACCGATTCCCTGCAATACATTTGAGGTCGTCACTCCATCTAGTGGGGGGAGTCATCTTACACTGCGTTTGCCCGTACGAGGTGGTTACACAAGCACCTTTCTTGATCATCATCGGTTGTGGTCGAAGTTGAACTTACCTAGTCGAATAAGTTGTTCAGGTAGGTATACATACTCATTGACAACTTCAAGCGTAGTGTACTTAATCGTAACCAGTATAGGTGTGACATGGACGTTAGAAATGATTTTAGTCTTGTCCATATTCATCTTAAGGTCTACCTGTTGATAAGCATAGTACTCAAATCCGCCAGGGATTCCGCCATCATTACTATGTCATCGGCAAATCGCAGGTGAGTGATGTATTCTCCATTGATGTGATTGAAGAAATCCCATACCATCGATAAATTCAAAAACTTATTCTGGATTCTGTTTTTTATGAAATTATATTTCTAAAATATATAGAATTATAATCATTATCGTCTCAGTCATTATTTGTCCACTGTATAGAAATAATCTTTATTCAAATAGACTTGTTTAAAAGCTCTTTTAAATCGTAATTTTTTTGTGATTGTATTGTTGGGTTCGTGATGCTGTTATCTGCTAAGAAGATCTCACAAGAAACTCAAATTATTCTTTTCAAACTATTACATACAATTTTACATTTGCGTAGGTACTGTGACTAAAATAAGCAATGAAATTCTATTTTTATGTATTACATATTTACATACCTGTCACGCTTGTCTCCCATTATGATAAGCAGAAACAATGGAACGCCAAATGGTTCAATTATATTATTAAATGGAAAATAAACAACAAACAGGAGCAGACAGTCCCCACAAACAGCACTCGTTCACGAGTATGACGAATAAACCAGTCATCATTACGCTTAAACATATTTTAGTGAACTCAACTATCTGGTTCAAGTTTAAATGCCTAAATTATTCTAGTATCGAGCTTAGTGATTAACGTAATAGCTTTTCATACATTTAACGACTAGCGGGCCGTCCCGGTTTCGCACGGGTTAACACTTTTACAACATTTTAAAGTGGTTATTGTAACATAACGATAATAGTTGGACATATAGTATCGCGGAGTTTTTTGTAGTTATTGATATTTTCTTTAATATTGTAGAACATGAACAATTGTTCTATCACCAATAGTTTCCGCAGCGCACGCGGCGAAAGATATTTTATAGCATTTTTTATATCTTGAGTTACGTTACTAGTTTTAGTTAAGATCCCTAATATTTTCTAGCAATAAATATAGCCTATGTTACTTAGGCTGAATGTAGCTTTCTAATGGTGAAAGAAATTTTGAAAGCGGCAAAGTAGTTTTTGAGTTTATTCATTACAAACATACATACACACACACAAAAATACAAATCTTTCCTCTTTATAATATTAGTGTAGATATTTAAGTTTGATCAGATTATTTCGATATTAAAATCTGCCTAAATCTTTCTGTCTACCCAATGAGAGATGATAGGCGAGGATGAAACAGGTCAGTTGACTCATTGCGACATAGGGTCAATTTTGAAATTCCGTTAAATTTAAATATAGAGTTTTAATATAACAGCTAATTTTTATTCTACAGTTATATGAACTAAATTTCTAATAGATTTATGTGAAAAATATTATAAGTTTAGTTTGCGATGATCCATAAACCAGAAATTTTGTAAAACTCCTAAATTAAAATATTACTCTAAAAGACAGGTTTAGAGATATGGCGCCTAGTAATCGAGCCCACTGTATATCGATACCAAACGAGTTGAAGATTAATGTCAATGCCATCCAATCCCTACATCGATTACAAGCAATACACTCCACTCGCATTGGAAACTATCGTGGTTAATTGTAGTGGAATTCATCTTGATGGGCTGACGGATCTGTTTTCATCGTCATCTATCATCTCTTACTGGTGCCCCGCTAGCGTATACCGATAGCGCAGGCATACCATTTCATTATCGCCAATTAAAAAAAATCCCTACATTGAAGAATTGTGTGGAGTTGACATCTGGCATAAATAAACAGCGACATTCGGTTCCCATGCAAAACGATGAATATTATCCTTTAAAAAACTTTTTAAAATTTACCGACAAGTAACTGTAGCGTCACTTTAATTTGAGGGGCACTTTTTCATATTCATACACAGAAAAGGTTCTTATTTCTCCATCATCCGCGTGGTTGCTCACGGTATTGTATTACTCTATACTGTACCTACTGTAATAACAAAAGTTATGACTATATAATATTGTGTCACGGAACAGATTCTTTTTTTTTCAGTCTTTTGACTAAATAAATAATAATCACTTTTTGTGCAAAAATATTATAATTATAGCATTAAATATAGGGATAATATATCAATTGTATAACTAACAGTCATAAATTACAATTAGAGAAAAGGCACTTTAAATATCAATTTCAAGTAATATATACATTTTTATTTACTACAATACAAAATTATTACACAAATGTTCGACATGTAGCGCCAATGTATAAATAAAAAAGAATAATATATTCTCTTATCTAAATATTTCATCGTTGAAATGATTCGTTACCTAAGTTAAATAAATAATGTATTTACTTTTATGTATAAGGCACCAAGAGTATGAGCTCGCTCTAAAAAAGCGAAAGCTTATTCTACATGACGCCAGCAGCTGTGACAGTACGTACCTAATACCAATTTGGTGATGATAACAAACATTTTAAAGTCCATTTTCTAAACACATAGAGTTGAGCAGTCACAGAATATTTATTATATCAAACAAAAACATACAAATTACTATAAATACAGTATTACTAACATAAACAGATTCAATATTTGTTTGTTCTTATCGTATCAGTTAATTATTAACTATTATTTTAACTGGGAACACAATATGAGTTATTTAGCGAAAACTGGGAAAATACTATAATTTATATACAAGTATTTTTCATCGACAATATTGTTTCGAGCTTGCTATAATAAATAGATTTCCAATATATGTGGAAATAAGGGTTACGGCAAAGAATACCGACTACAAAACAGTATGATGGCAATGCTGTAGGTCAAACTGAAAACTGATATGTTAGTAAAACTGATGTATGAGATTACTAATTAAATTTGCATTTCAACAATTGTACCATTCAGTGCAGAATATTTTCAGTTATTGTGCTGTCGACATACTGCTTTATACACAACTACAAATGGAAGCAATAAAATAAACTAAAATTTAAATGGTTTTATAGTTGCCAGTAATTGTAAATTCAAAAATTCAACTAAAAACTATGTGAATATCATAATTATCATTTAGGCACATATAATTCAATCCTGTTACATATTCTATAAGTTATATTGCAATTGTCTTTCTAAAACTTTCTGGTGAACATATCACTAATAAAGATTTATTAATGAACAATAAACTAGAAATATTACAAATTCATTATTCAACTTTTCTAATCAATCACTTATATATCTCACTATTTTTTTTTTAAAATACATGGAATTAGTTGTCTGCCTACAGCATGAAAACATTACAAAAATCATTACATAGAAAATATTAAAATATAATAAAAATGGTTTAATTATTTATAATTTAGACAGTGCTGAAATACATGGCACAGTTCCAAGTATTTCTTCCTAGTCTTAATACTTACGACATAATTGTAGACGTTTTGTACCAAATATTATAAACTTATCTACATTGTGTTGCAGTAAGAACATGGATTAGAACTAATATGCCTGTAAATCATGTTTTTAACAAAGTGAACGTATTATATCCTAAAAACATACGGTGCCATCAAATTCCAAACTAAGCTTAGTTTGGATTATAGGTACTGGACAACTTTGGAAACACTTATGTATATATATTTTTTCAAATTATCAACTAATATATAGAGAAAACCCGCTCTACAGATAATATAAAACAGATATAATTATTCATGTTTGATTTGTGTAAATATCGTACTCACAATAATTGTAAGGTGAGTAGGCAGTAACCTACGTCATCAAAGTTTTCCATATTATACTATAATAATTTTGAAATAAAATATAATAATATTATTTGATGTTAAAATAATCTTTATTAAAGTATACTTCTTTATAAGTTCCTCTAAATCGTCATTTTCCATGACTTTACTGCTGGGTTTGGAATGTTATCTGCTGAGAACCCACAAGATTATCAGCAGTTACTTTTATTCATTGGTCAAGTAATGTCTGTAAACATCTTTCTTATCTGCAACACACTGCACAGTGTAGAATTTGTACAAAAATACTCATATAATATAATAATAATGTGTCAATCACTGCAGTTGTCTGGTTCTCAAACCAGACTACAGAATATAGGGGCACTTTCTGGTATTGAGTTCACTGAGAATCAGACATGAGTCTTCATGTACACAAAGACACTTGATCTATCACTGCATTATGGAGGTCTTTATACTATAAAAAATTAATTGAATAAACTATAATAAAGTGCAGTCAATTAACAGTAATCGCTGTCAAAAATAAAATCACTAGACAGGAAGCTCAGTATCCATTCATATATAACACGCATTCAGCATAGGCATATTTAATAAGGGGCCAGGTGAACTGTGTCCACCCCAGGATGATAACAGACCTTTCAGCTATGTAAAAAGACATGTCTGAAAACACATAACTATAAAGAAAGTACATAACTGTGCTTTAAAAAGGCACAGTTATGTACTTTCTTCCCCTCGACCCCGAAAAATAATTTTAAATACGTCATTGGCGTTCACTGGAATAGACAAGAATATTATTATTATAAAATCGATAAATTTGCAACATAATACTTCTTAGAGAAACAAAAAGTTTCAAAATAAAGTTTAGCTGCTGATCTCTTTAATAATTATTATAGTTACATTAATACAAGTTATTGTGAGTGGTAAAGTTACTTGAGCTCGATTGTACGTCTCTGATAGAATGCCACCTAAAAACAAGTGTGCAACCGACACCACACAGTATTCATAACATTATAATAGTAGGTTAAAATTAAAAAAAAAAAAAAAAAAAAAACCGAATTACCTTTTTTTGAAAAGAAACCTTTTGTCATGAAATATTTGTCATGAAATATTTGCCAAACGCCAATCAGTCTCATATTTCTAATTTTGACTCGAAATTTTTTTCCACATTACTTTTTTTACAGATGTACATTTTTTTATAACCTAGATGGTCTCTGCATAAAATTTTGACGAGTATTATATTATATATTAAAATGTTTACTGTCTTTGAGATCAAAAACAGTGAATTTTTTTATGTTATACTATAAATTCGTATTAAAATTTGCTTAAATTAATTCGATTTTATTTTCAAGTCTTTATTGTAAAATTAATAAATTATTGAGACCATAAATACTATTTATTCTCCCAAGTTATCTTTGAAATATTCAATTTCAATAGTAGACAGGTGACACTCATTGTTAAACGTCCTAAAAGAATAAGGGATAAAAATATGCTTAAAGATAACTACCGGCGTTATATACAACATGATTTCCTATAAATATAATTCGCGTAGAAAAACCCACATAGACAACTGGCGTAAATAAAATACATTTGTGGGCGTTATATCTGTAGGTACATTTTGTTTATACTTTCTAGTTGTTAAAATTTTTTTTTAAAAGGTTATACGTTGAACACAACCATTTCATTCTCATGCCATTAGTCACAGTCGCATGTCATTCGACCGCGAATCCAGCGGTTTCGAGAACAGCCTGTTTTAGTTTATCGTGTAGGCGCTCTTTCGTGGGGTAGGGTGGCAGGTCGAGACGGTTAAAACAGGTATGCGCTTTGGGAAGAGAGTCAGGTGATGCGTCCGCGACTAGGTGTAGCGTGAAAAACCTTGGAGCGGCTGCGCCAGTGGATCCTTGCAGTGCTCGGAAGCCGTTCAATGGGACTCGTCGCGACCCAGTCACAAACTGTAGTAATCTAGCGCGCATTTCTGCATCGAACTCTTCAACAATTTCCCAGAACCAGCCGACTATCGGAGCATCTGCAGAGACGTGTTTGAGGCGCGTATGACGTCGCCAGTCGACAGGGTCGAGATCTGCGCGGCCGGCGAGTAGCGGTTGTAGGTCTCTCGGGGAAAGTGGTCTAAGCAGCTGTGGTGGTATTATGTCGGCCAGGCCACGTTGTAAGGCTAACCACTGCCGTTCTGCGCCTCTGGTAAACCTGTGCGCTACGTATAAACGAACGTACTCGCGTTTATTTACGTCTGTTACCTGCTCGTTGGCGCCGCCGGGTCGTAGTTCGACGCTACGAACCGCACCAAACGACGAGCATTCTACTGAGAAGGTCGTGTCTATTACACCTGCAATACTGTTCTCTCTGAAATGAAAATTTAGATCATTTTTATAAATATTACAAATGTTTACTCTTAATTGATAATACTTAAATAATAATATAATTCTATGATACTGGGTAGTTGAAATAGTAATTTTAATTCTTGTTAGTATGGCAACTTCTTGCTCTCTCTTTTCTTTCCGAATCTGTGGTGGTACAACATACAAAAGTGGGGGGAAGGGATTGTTACTAATGCGGGCTACCAGCCCCACTGCTAGCAATATACTCTTATTAGATCGACCTCTACGTGATTCCCCCTAGATATAATCGTGCTAACTGAACTGTTTTTTCATTCTCACTGTCCTCCCTCACCTGGTGCTCTGCCAGCGTCTACCATTAGTGCAGTGCGGGGTTACAATTTCATTATCATCCAAGAAAAAACATCTAAAAGTTTCTCTCTCGAAAATTAGTAATTCAACTACAATTTATTGACATTTAATTAATTAAATAATTTTATATATATATATATATATATATATATATATATATATACATTATATTTCAAGAATATGTTGAGATAATTACCTATAGAGTACCAGGAAAACAAGATGGATCAACCGTTTTCTTTTTTTATGTTCCCTTTCTTTTGTATTAAAATTATGGATACAGTTCATTTTTTAAATGTTTTCATTTCGTAATCAGTAGAAATTCAACAAATACATTATTAACAAAATAAATATTGGACCCTAATCAATCTTTTGTGTATAAGAGTTTTAATAATATATAGATTGGACAACAGTATATTTCATATTCTAAGTGATGTAAAAATAGCTGATGAGTGTTTGGATAAAGTATACTCACAACATCCAAGAAAGTGATCGATGTAGTTCAGGGTCTACATCGCGAATATCTCGAAGTGTGATTGCTCTGCCCAATAGTTGTTTGTAAAATGGTGCTGTGAATGCTGCATCTAATTGATGTCCGTGGAATAATGCCACACCAAGTATACGTCCAGCAAAGTGAAAATATGACAGGTGCTCAGGGTTCACCTACAAAAAAAAAAAAATATTAATAAAATCAATAAAAATCAGTGTTATGCTGAATTTTTTAATACATTTTTATGCATGAATTTAGCACCCCAAAATTACCAGCACAGAATGTGTGATAAAATAACAGTTTTGAAATTTATAGTGCTGAATTGTGCCAGCTTTCCAATCACCACTTTCATGTTAAGTTGCTCAATTTGAGGGTAGCCTCTTCTATTGTCTAGTTTTTAGGCTGACATTTTACCCAACACATGTAATATCTGGATTAACAATTGTTATGGTTGATTATGAGGTTGGTTGATCAGGTGGCTCAGGACTGTTTACTAACTTTATGGCAGTCTGTGGGGGAGGCCTAGTCATGAACAGTGTCTATTAACTAAATCAGGGCAATATAATTGATTGGTTTTAATTAAACAATTTGTTTTATTTAAAATTAAAGTAGATATCTCACCCCTGAGTCGGCGTTAATTTGCAGAGCATATCGATCGTCCCCAGCATTTGCGTACTGGAACAGTCCATACTGTGGATTGAACAGTTCCCTTCCCAACAGATGCAGCCACTCCCGCGCCACGCCACCGTAGTCGAGGCCTTCTTCGCCGCGGAATTTTACCAGTAGTCGTTTGCGAAGCTCCTTGCCTCGTAACTTCATCACGAGCCGGTACGATTCTTCCAGTACTTCGTTACGTGATACCTGATCGTATTAATACATCATTATTACTATCTTTAATTCCATATAACTGAATGGTTAATTTGAATTTTAAATGCGAAAATGGATAAGGCCTATTTATGATGTTTTTTATGTACATTTCAAAATAGCTTATCGGTTCAAAATTAGCAAAGATATAGCATAACATACATACAAGCCAAATGCATGTGTAAAATATATAATGTATGTATGTATAAAAAGATGTGTAATTTAATTAAATTTACCTCTATCCTACAATGGCCCGTTTGTGGCTGCAAAGCTTGTAACTCGGCGCGGAGAGCGCGCGCTTTAGCTGCCAAGTCGCGCTTGTATTTGGGTAAGGCCTCCGAGTCGGTTGGCTCGTTAGCAGCTGGGCTCGGTTCCACGGGACTGGGATTCTGCTAAAAATGTAGCGTGAATTGCTAATTAACGAATACTAAAGCTACATAAGATAAGCAACAAAAATAGAAAAAAATATTATATTATGGTGGCTTTAGATTAAGGCCAACATCATACTCAACAGTGGAACATAGATATTAGAAACATTCAGTGCGTCTTTAGAATGAATAGCTATATCCATGCTTGCAGTCAACGCAGACGATCTACCGAGTGTGGCGGATGAAAACGAGCGTTACAGCTTTGTAGATATTCCGTCAATCGAATATATGTGCGTCGATGACTGAATAGATTCTGGGCGCGAGAATTCTGGAGCACCAGCTTACATCAATTTGATGATTAATTTTCTGCGCAGTGTGGTCGCAAGTAGACCTAAAAGCGACTTTATGTAGTGCTAGCTATAGTTTAGCGCCATATTGAACAAATATTATAAAGTATAAGAAGATCGATCATTTGTTTAACGTAACATTGTGAAATCTATTGTATGTCGTATAGTCGTTGGTACGCGTACCGATCCTTGGTCGGCAATGCTACAACAGCACTAGCCTTATTATATTATGTCTCTGTACTGTAATTTCAATTTGTTCTCAAACTGAAACAATCATACTAGATAGTAAATATTTTTCGTATATAGTCAAATAAAAATGGCCAGTGTTATATTGAAATTTAATTTTAACAGCATGAACAATGGCAAAAGACAATGGAGAATATTCCAGTAGTAACATATCAACTGTTACTTTGAATGCGTTCATTTATATATATTTAAATTAGGCGTGTTCGTCTTCTAGTCAGTTCCCCTTGTCCCTATTAACTTTTCCTCTAAGGGATATAGTGGGAAAATGTGTGAAGTACTTACGAATCTAGCGGAGAGCGCGAGCCGGGGGTCGGTGAACTGCGTGGTGCGGTTGTTGTGGTCGACAAAGTAGAGACGGCCGGTGGGCGAGTGGCGCATCTCCCAGCCGGGCGGCAGCGGGCCGGCTGCGGCGGCCGCGTGCCGCAGGTGCGCCGGCACCCGCGGGTCGTGCCACGTCGACGCGCCCGTCGCCGAGTTGTAGAAGTACACCTGGCCTTGAGCTGTCGTGCGCATCTCTGTGAACGCGACAGACACCAATCATTACCTATCTTACCCGTTTATTTGAGGGAGAAGGGATTGTTAGTAATGGGGACTAGTAGATCCACTGCTAGCAATACGCCCAGTCAGGTCGACCTCCTCGCGGCCGCCCTGTAAACCATCATGTTCAATTCTAAGTGAATTCATCACAATGGGCTAATTGAACTGCCTCTTCATCCTCACCTGTAATCGTTTACTGGTGCCCCACCAGCGCATGCCGTTAGCGCAGGCGGGTTGCCATACCATTGTAAAAAAATTAAAAAAAAACCGCTTATTTATAAAAACATTTAATAATAACCTATACGAAATTATGATTTCCATTTTAAAATAAAAGATTTGGTGAAAGTTGTTCAGTTTCAGACACTCAGAGAGCTTTTGGATCATCTATCTATACTATCAGGAGCACAACAATGGCCCCGCTGAATAGAGCATAGCCGTACCATACCATCATTTTCTCGCGACTGCGGCACTGTTAACCAAAGGGGTCAACAGTGCCGTGAGTCGCTTCATTGTGGATAAAGCAAGAAGGTAGAATTTTTGTGTTATGCAAAATGTACACATTTTCATCAGATTAGTTTGTAGTTTTTTTAGAAATTTGTTATTATTGGCCATTCTAAAGTAATATTACAAAACTGCCAGTTTATAAAGGTGTTCGAGAATTTCTTGGTTGCATAAAAATTTAAATTTAGTAACACGGATAAACTGTATTTTAAGATAATTTTTAAATGCAGAAAAAATTTTAGGTTACATCTAGTTAATAGAAACTGTACCATATCCAGGTGGCAAGTCAGTAGCAGCTATAGGAGTAGTTGGCGTTGCGGGGCTCTGAGGCGTAGTAGAGGTAACAGGTGACACTTGGGCAGGTGCTGGAGTCGGACGAGGTCGTACCGCCGTTTGAGGCTGAGGTTCGGGTCTGAAAATAACAAAACATTGGCATCTCAAAATTTCTATAACAATATTTTTTAATGTAAGAATAATCTCATATAATGAGCCTCCCCTTTCTTTTCCGTGGGTGTCATAAGAGACAACTAAGAGAATTTAATAATGGACAAGGATGAGCAGCAGTGTCCTTCTTAAAACATCACCAAAGTCTAACTGCGGTTGCCAACCCGTCTGCCAAGCTTGGCAACTACCGGTCAAATTCCCCTTATAGATAAGGCTTATGTTCAACAATGGACAGTTAACAGCTAATATAATATATAGCCGGAAATCTTAGTCATGAGCGGCAATGGCGACCCGAAACTAGTTGTTTTTACATTAAAATACAATGTGTACTTACGAAACTTTTAACAATAATATTTTTTCATTAAAAACTTTTATTTTAACAGTATGGCAACAATAGCACTATCAACATTTTTTAAAAAATATCCCAATAACAAGTATCTTTTTACCTTAACGAAATTGACGTTGCGTGATTGACATCTGTATCCGAGACTGGCGAGGAAGGTGTGCTCGGCGAAGCTGGTGTGGCGGGTGAGGCTGACGCGGTGGACGATAGACCATTTGGGGGTGAAGGCGGTGAAGACACCAGTGACGTCACCGGACCGGGATTGTCAGCTGTAGGCCGATCCCATTGTGTGCACCGTCGCGCGTGGTTAACGTAGTATGGTCTACAATACGCCAAAAATATTAATGCTACCCGTTCACACCAAACTTATCGCCGCCATTTTTTTTTATGCAACTTCGAATGACAAACAAACTGACGGCCCACCTGATGGAAAATGGTAACCATCGCCTATAGACATAATGACAACACCCATGCGTTATCATTACTAAGGACTCAGGTGTTATTGCTCTATACCCTGTAATTTCACTGTCATACCCTTCAAACCGAAACACAGCTATGTAAACATATCTGCTGCACGGTAAAAACACGTATGGGACAGAGATGTCTAAGCAAACGACTATTGCTTTTGTTATGTCAGCAATTCATTTAGTAGTATTATTAGTGCATACTATGGGAATTGCCTTTTTGTTTGCATCAGTGGCACATTGACCAATATAGTGTGTTTATAATAATACATTTGAGAGAGAGACAATGAGTATGATTATAATAATACATTTTTTTTTTTAACAGAACGATCGCTAAATTTTTTTG